GCGTGTGGCCAGGGGGAGCGGGCTGCAGAGAGCGTGCGGTGGGGGGATTGGTTGAGGCATTTGCCCGTGAGACTTCAGAGTCGAAAGGTCCTTATCTGATGAGAGCGGCAGCGGTCTCCATGGGCGGTCTACGATTGGAGTTTCACTGGCTTCCAGACCCTGGAACCTTGATCCAATGGTTCCTTCGTTTCGCCGCAAAAGGGGCTGCAGAGAGCATGCTCCGGCTGCACGTAAAAGTGACCCTTCGCCAGAGTGACTCTTGGTGCGGGCTCACAGGAGTCTAGCACTGGCATGCGCGCTTGGATTTGGCCACCCCCCGCGGCCCCCTAAAGCCGCGCACGACAGGTCACTCCTGCCTAGGGTCACTCTAGCGTGCAGGCCGAATGCAGTTCTGGAGCTTTTGGTCAGCGTGTTGCGCTTCCGGTTCTGGCCCACCACGCTTCGGCATGACACGCTAACCACGCCCCTCTTCCCAAGCGTCGATGTCCCGAGCCCTTCTTAGGCTCCCGCCCACGGAGTTGAGCGACACGCTATCCGCTTGCATGGCACAGCGTGTCGCCGGGACCGCCGCGGCGACACGCTAAGCAAAACATCTTGACCGTATGTCTGCCAGCGCCCACTCTGAATGGACGCGGATTGGCTTCAGCGCCGCGCGCACTTTTTCATGCGTTTTTGGAGGTGCCTTGAGCCGTGTTGAGCCGTCGCCACGATCTCAGGAAGGCGCGGTAGGACGGCCATGCAACATGCCCCCAACACGGGTGTGTGATTGCGGCCCCGCGTCAACGCTATAAAATGGGCGCAGCCATATTCGAGAGGCTTACCTTTTTCCGCCGACCCCTAGAAGAAGGATGGAGTCAATGAGTGAGGCCTTGCGGGGCCTCTTGGGGACCCTCTGGGGGCCTCTTTGCCTCTTTTGAGACTCGTCGGGGGCTTTTCAAGCCCCTTGGAAGTTTCTTGGGCGCCTGCTGGCGGTTTCGGAGGTCCTCTTGGGGCTGAGGGCTCGGAATGTTCTCTAGGGCCCCCCTCTTGGGGCCCTGTTGGGGTTCTCTTGGGCCATCTTGGACACCTCTTGGGCCGTCTGGGGACCCACTTCGGCTGTCTTGGTGCCCTCTTGAGGGAATCTTGGGCCGTCTTGGAGCGATCATAGGGTCATAGGGGCCTCTTGCGAATATGCTAAAATAAAACATTTCCGCGAGGGCTGCGTACGATGCTTGCATCTTGGGGCCCTCTCGGTAGTCGTCTTCGAACCCTCCTGGGGCATCTTTGAGGCCTCTTGGGCAGTCTGAGGACTCCTGTGCGTGTTGGGGCCTTGCCTGGTTTCTTTACGTCGCAGCGCGGCAGAGGCAGTCCGCACGCGCGCTCGGGCAAGCCGCGAGACGGCATCGCTGCTTGTCCGGCAGCAAGGGCGGGAAAAAGGGGGAGGAGGAAGCGGCCGCGGGGCAGGGAGGGAGGAGGGAGTCAGAGCGTGAATTACCTACCCCGCTTTCGCTTTCAGGCAAAACCAAGCCATGGCGCGCGCCTCCTCGGCAAGCGGCCTGACCAGTACAGGCCGTAGTTTGGCATCGCTTGGTATCTCTTGGAAGCGAGGGTGGTCAAACGCGAGGTAGGCTTTGTCTGCCCCCTAGGGAGAGCGCTCGCGCGGCGGGGATCGCCGCGTGAGCCGGCCGGGGCGGCCGGCCCTGTGCTGCATGCCCCTGTGCTGCACACGCGCGGGCCCGTCCTCGGGCATCCCTTGAGGCCACGGGGTGCAGGCATGGAGGCCTGCAGAGGCCCAGGGGGGGAGCGCGGAGGAGCTCGGATGCCCGTCCCCGCCCCCATCCCCCATCCTCCCCCCCGCCCCGCCCCTCCCCTTCTGATCTCTAGGCCTCATAGATGGGGCCCGAGTAGATGGGGTCGGAGGATCGCACTGCATCGCCGATGCATCGCCGATGCTTCTCGATGCGGAGCCCGATTTGCTTCACGTCGACGTCGCCGATGCAACGCCCACCTCCACGATGTACCGCCGGTGCATCGCCGGTGCATCGCCGGTGCATCGCCGATGCATCGCCGATGCATCGCCGATGTATCGGCGATGCGGCGCCATCCTCCGACCCCATCTACCCCGACCCCATTTAGGAGGCCTCCATGATCGGCTTTCAGGTCACAGGGGAGGGGTCCCCCCGTCATCGTGTCTGTCTGTCGTTCCCCTGGCCCTCGCTCGTTTGCCTTCTCTTCGGGCCTTCGCTCGGTTCTCTTGCTGCCTGCGAGTCGTCGCTTGACCCTAATCCGCGTCCACACAGAAGTCGCAGGGGAGGGGGCAGGGGGAGGGGCACCGCCAATCATCTCACACGACTTGGCACCCCCGGCAAGCAGGGGTCGGCGGATCTAGGGGTCGGTGACCAAGCAAGCATGCATGCGCAGCCCGTACGCGCGCATCTACAACACGCACGAGCAATCCGCGTGCAAGTAAGCAGGCCGTCATGCATTCGAGGCTCAGTCCCAGGGGGGGATCACGGACCAAATCACCCAAGAAGAGCAAGGCATCGTTGGGCGGTGCGAGCCTCGCAAGAGATTTCGGTAACTACGGGAGCCGACACTATTCCCAGAGCGTCGGGAACGTGTTGATACGTTTCGGAGTAGTTGGTATGCTTCGAGATATTTCTCAAATGCTTTCAAAGACCTCCGAGGAGTAGGTTGCAGGTCACAGCGCCACCACCACCGTCACCGCAATTACATCAGCCGCTACCGTTTGCCGCCACCGTTGCCCTCGCCGACGCCAGCAGTACCGCCATCGCCCGAGCTGCAACCAGGCTGCAGCGCGCGTCGGAGCCTTGCCAGTGCGGTGGTCCGCCTGGCCGCGTTTGCCCCCCCGGTTGCCTGCTCAGCTCTGGGCCCTGCACCGCTTTCGGCCATCGATGATCCAGGAGTAAGATCTGTTGCGTAAGAGGTCCTATACTGTCCTCCGCCGTCTTCCTTCTCCGCCTCTTCTTTGTCACTCCGTGCTGTATCTGACGCACGGCATGTTCATTGTACGACAGCATCGCATGCTTCGCTAGCTTGTTGCTGCCTCTGGACCGTTCTCATCCATTCCTCGTGCTCCTTTTACCCTGTCAGCCCTTGACCCCACTGATGCCAAAGGCTGGCGGAGACGCTGCGATCATGAAGACGTGCATCTATCAGGCGTGTTGCTCCGGAACTTATTGTTGCGAGCCCCATTGCAAGTTTGGATTAGCAGAAGTCAGAACTTCACGCGCACGCTTGACAGGTCCAGATTGGCCTGCGGCCTCACAGTGCAGTCGGGCCGCTGAAGAAGGAACTCTTTTCGTTGGGGGGGCGCAGTGTTCCTTAATTGTTCTACAGCGTGTATTGGGTGACCCTTAGGTTTTCCATGGGAAACCGAAGTTTAACTTGTGGAGCAAAAGGGCCTCGTTCCTTGTGTTGGGTTCCTTAAGACAGCATTTCGATGGTATCGGGTCGTGGATATGGAGTGGTGGGAGGAGCATGTACGGTTAAGTCGGGCCTGTCCCTCTACAGGAGGAATATTCCCAAGGTGTGACAAATATAGTCCTGGGACGATTTGTTTGTTATTTTGTTGATAATTTGGGAGTCTTTTTCGATCCGGGGTGGACAGACCTCCTACCCTGACACGTCGATGAGCGAATTGGCCGCTTTCGGTTCGCGAGAGGACGTCGCTCCCGTCATTTTTGCGGGTCCAGGTCCGTCGGTTTCGGTCCCAGGCCGTTTTCACTAAAGGGAGGCTGACTGGGACTATTTGAGAGTATGATTGAGCATTTTTCGCGTTTCATCGGAAATCCCCCTGTAGGGGGGGGACATGCCCGACCTAAATGGACGGGCTTGGCGCACGGAGGCCCCCGCACCCCACTCCCCCCCCCAAGGGGGTCCCCACCGCGGACCGTGCACGGCCTGCTCCGGGGCGTCGCCGGGGCGCCGCCGTGCTCCGCGCACGGTGGTGCTGAGCTGCTGGCGTGCACGGAGAGAGCTGCGTGTCGCGGGCGATGTGTCTCCCGCCAGTCCCCGAGTGTCGCCCGAAACGTTTGGCCGCTCAGAAAGATGGGGAAAACACTGGGATGCACCCCAGGGGGGCTACTCGGACGCACCCCTATCGAGGATGGCCGCCCCCCCATCGTATATCCCAGGGTTGGCCCCCAAATTGTTGGTCCACTCGAAAGCCCCACGAAGCCTGGGGTAGGGGTCGACACATCCCCTGTTGAGTGATGGAGTGGGGTCCGTTGGGCGAGCGGAGGCAGGGGAGGGAAGGCGGAGTGGGCGGGGAGGGGAGAGACGCGGGGCACTCGGTGGCAGGGGCACTGCTGGTGAGGCTCCGGTCCAGCCGTCGCAGCTCCCGAGGAAGCGGCTTGTGCAAGGCATGGTTCGATCGCTGCGGGCGAATCGCCGTCACGTCCATTATACCTGGTCACTGGAAAGAACTGGGGGAAGGAGCGAGGAGGGGGCAGGAGGGGAGAGGACAGAGGACAGGGTGGAAACGAGGGGAGCGGTGAGGAGCAGAGCAGACGCCTTCCTGCAGGCTAGAGCAGCTTGAGAGTGGCAGGCTGTCGGAAGGTATGTCGGCCTGCATCCTTCGAGCCGCGCCTTGGAGAAACTCTCGGCCTCGATACCCAGCCCCCCTCTCAATGTGCTGGCACCTGGACAGTGCGGGGCCCAAACAAACAAAACGAGTGACACTGTCCAGCAGCGATGCAGCATCGAATGGCTGCTGCCTCTCGGCTGCCCCGGAGGTCTTCCCGCACCTGCCTCTCGCCGCAGTGGTCAGCGATGCGCACGGGCAGTTCTCGCTCTGCGTCGTCCACGGCGGTATCCCTGTCGGTTGTCCAGGCCAGCTGGCGGCCATTATGTCTTTGCTTTGCACGCTCCGCCACTCGTGCTCGGATTCTCTGTCAAGCTGCTCAGCGGCGGGACTGTTCGTGTTGCATAGTGTTGCTGCCCCCCTCTCGAGTGCAGTTGTCTTTGTTTTGCACGGCACTCCGCGCGCGCGTGCTCGTGGTTCCGATGCTGCGATCGCACACCAGATTAGCGACTGTACTGTTCGTAGGTGGCTGGTGCCGCTGCTCCTCTTGAGGTCTGTAGCTGCTCGATGTCCTGGGGCTCTCATAGCATCCTGGGCGTAACCAGTACCATCCAGAATCTTGTCGTTGTCTTTGGGATTGTACACGTTGGTCGACAGCAAAAGTCACCCGGCTCCAGCTTCAAAGCTCAAGCTGTGAGTATCTGGCCCATTCTGCCAGGACACCTTTGAGCACATTTTCAAGACACATGGATGATTCGTCATCCTGTCCTCCTCGAGCCTGCCCCTCCTCCGTCCATTGCCTCCCTCTCCTCTCCAACTTCCCTCCCTCCCCGCCCCCCTGTCGCCTCCCCCCCTCCCAATGGCTCCCTCCCCCGCTACCCCTCTCTCCTCCGTCTCCTGCTCTCCTCTCCCCCCCTCCCCCAGCCGTCCACCGCCTCTGACCCCTCTCTTCCATCCGCCGCCCCCCCCCCCCCCCCCCAAAGGAGGAGGAGGAGGAGGGAGGGGGAGGAGGAGGAGGAGGAGGAGGAGGAGGAGGAGGAGGAGAGGAGGAGGAGAGGAGGAAGAGGAGGTGGAGGAGGAGTTGGGGGAGTGGAGGAGGAGGAGGAGAAGGAGGAGGAGGACGAGGTGGAGTAGGAGGTGGAGTAGGAGGTGGAGGAGGAGGTGGAGGAGGAGGAGGAGGATGAGGAGGACGAGTGGGAGGAGCCCCATGTACCGCCACCCTCGCCCCGTGCCTCTCCGGCCGCGCCTGCCCCCGCGTCAGCTCCGCGCTCCTCGGCGGCTCACCCCGAGAACACGAGTCCCAGGAGCGACGGGAGGACGTACAGCGTACGCGAGCGACGCAGAAGAAATCGGGGTCGGTTGCGCCGATGTTCGTGCGCAAGGTGCCCGCGGAAGGTCGCGCATGAGCGCCTTCGTCTCCAATGTGGCGTGCCGCGCCGGCAGCCCGCGTAAACCTCCGCGTAAGGTCGCTGTATCATCTCGCGTAAGAGCCCCTTTTTGATCGTCGCGCACATGAATATACGTTGGTTTCGAGAGTACGCAGTGCACGAACCTTAGTATCGCGCGGCCGGTCTCGCGGAGTTTGGAGCCGTGCTCATGCACGTTGGTGGGCGCGTACGTCCTTCGTGGGCTCCCTAGGGACGCCCGCCGGGTGTCAAACAAGCCGCGCAGTTGACCCCTCAGGTCGAAGAAGGGAAGGCTGCATAGACATTGTGGGCGCTCCGCTCGGATTTCTTGGATCTGCGCTTGGGGCTCCTGGCGGCGCCTCTGGCGCCGCCCCTGGCGCGCTCTGCGCGCCAAGGAAGGGGTTTCAGCGCAATTCCAAATAATCCGCGCGGAGCTCCGAAAGTTGATGCTTATGCAGTTCTTCCAAATCATCCTGTGGTGTTGGGTTCTCGCTTTGAAGAGACAGGGCCCCGCGTGACTCTTCTTCTCCTCCGCCTCCTCCTCCTCTTCATCCACTTCCTCTTCCTCCTCCTCCTCCTCCTCCTCTCCTCCTCCTCCTTCTCCTCCTCCTCCTCCCCCTTCACCTGTTCCTCCTCTTCTTCCTCCTCCTTCTCCTTCTCCTTCCTCATCCTCTTCCCTCCTCCTTCCCTCCTCCTCTCCTCCTCCTCCTCCTCCTTCTCCTCCTCCTCCTCCCCCTTCACCTGTTCCTCCTCTTCTTCCTCCTCCTCCTCCTTCTCCTGCTCCTCCTCCTCTTCCTCCTCCTCCTACTCCTCCTGCTCCTCCTCCTCCTCTCCTTCCTCCCATCCCTGCCGCTGCCTTCCGCATGCCCCTGTTTCGTCACAGCCTCTCACGCTTCGTAGCCCCATAGGGAGCTCCACCGAAGGCCCCAGAGGGAGCGTTGACATGCGTCCGCGCCACCAGTACATCATTTCGTGGCCTAATAGGGAACTCCACCGAAAGCTCCGGAGGGAGCGCTGTCACGCGTCCGCGCCACCCAGTACAACGCTTCGTGGCCCCATAGAGGGAGAGAGAGAGAGCGAGAGAGTTAGAGAGAGAGAGAGAGAGCCCCACCGAAGCCATCAAAGGGAGTGTTCGCATGCGTCCGCGCCACCCAGTGAAGCGCTTTGTGGCCCCATGGGGAGCTCTACCGAAGGCCCCAGAGGTAGCGTTCGCACGCGCCTGCGCCACCCAGTTCAGGGCTTCGGCCCCATAGGGAGCTCCATCGAAGGGTTCAGTGGCCGCGGCCGCATGCGTCTCCGCCCAGCAAAGCGTTTCTTGGCCCTGGCGGGAGCTCCACCGAAAGCCCCAGTAGCCGCGGCCGCATGCGCCTCCCCCACCAAGTACAGCGCTTCGTGGCCTGGAAAGCCCCAGCTGCCGCGGCCGCATGCGCCCCCCACCACCCAGCACAGCGCGTCGTGCCCCCATGGGGAGCTCCACCGAAGGTCTCGATGGTCGCGGTCGCAGTCGTCTCCCCCGCCCAGCAAAGCATTCCGTGGGTCCCTTGGGAACTCCACCGGAGGCCCCAGTGGCAGCGGCCGCACGCGTCTCGCCCACCAAGTACAGCGCTTCGTGGCCCCGCGGGAATCTCCACCGAAGGCTCCAGTGGCCGCGGCCGCGTGCCCCCCCCTCCGCCCCGTCAAGTAATTATAGCGCTGCGTGGCCCCATAGCGAGCCCCGAGGCAGACCCCAGTGTCCACGGCCGCACGCGTCTCCCCCACCCATTGCAGGACTCCCCTCACGCGTTTCGTGGCCCCTGGGGAAAGGAAGATCCACCGCAAGCGGCACCCACAGCGCTGCATTCACAACTGCGCATGGTTGGGCCCTTCGCCTGGATCATGTTTCCCCCCACCGGTGGAAATCGGCACCGCCTCGGGCGCCTACAACCACGGTGTGTCCCTTTCATTCGCCGCCCCCCCCCCGAGCAGTGCCTGCATTCACGTGGGTCCGACTTCGGCTCCCAGGCGATCGGGTTCGTTTCCCCTTGTTTTCGCCACGTTCGCGCCCGTGGCCGCTCGTGGGCGCCTCGTGGCCGGCTTCCCGAGATCTCCCGACGTTCCCACCTGTGCCCGCCTCGCGGGCGCCCCGTGCGCACGCACGCCTTGCGCCGGGTGGGTTCCCCGAGGTTCGTTCCGCCACGTTCGCGCCCGTGCCCGCGCGCGGGTGCCTCGTGGGCGCCCCGTTTACTCCGTGGGGGGGGGGGGGGGGGGGGGGGGGGGGGCACCCCCCCCACGCGCCTCGGGCGCGCGCGCGTAGCTTCGGCCGCGCGGACGGCTGCGTCCAACTGGACATCGAGCCGATAGCGATAGCGATAGCGATAGCTTACTCCGTGCAGCATGGTTTAGAGCACCTACATTGCGCAACCTAGCGCAGACCGCATAGAGTACAGCATAGCTTACACCGCACAGCTCGCAGACCACAGCTTGCACAGTGTATGCTGCACCGCATCGTTCACACCACGCAGATCACACCACAGATCGTGCGCACCACAGCTTGCACACATCATACACCACATAACACTTACCCTTTGGTTCACGCCACATAGTTTGCACGAGACAGCTGGCACCATGTAGCCTAACATGCCTTGCATCCCCACAGCTTGCACTCCAGATGTCTCACCAACTAGCTCGCATCGCATAGCTGACTCAGCATAGCTTACACCACATGTGCCATATGCGTATACTTACGCGTATATAGATACAACGGCATAGTTCGGACAGCACAACTGGAACCACATAGCTTGTACCGCACAGCCCACACCACATAGCTCACGCCACATAGTTTACACCACATAGCTCACACCACGTAGCTCACACAACATATATTTCACCTCTTATTTGCACATCCTGTATCCCGCCATATAGTTCTCATCGCATAGTTTACACAACATAGCCTACACCATAATATTCCACCGCAGCTTACACAACATAACTGGCACCGCCTAGCTCGCACCACATAGCTCACTCCACACAGCTAACACAACGTAGATTTACCATACAACTTACACAATCGAGTCCACACCCGCAAGCCCAGACCGTACAGTTGACTTACATCGTGTAGTCTAAGTGTTTTACGGGGGTGGGGTGGACCATCTGTTTGACTTTCAGGCTTTGTAGCCCCCGCACCGGACGCACCAAATCAGGCCCCCATCTGCTCAGGGTTTGTGGGTTGGGTTCGTCATCAACACAGCCCGTGGGACAGAGAGAGAAGATGACATGATCGTCCTGCCCACAGCAACGGAGGGCGATACCCGCTCATAGCGTCCGCGATTTTGACAAGCACTGTCGCATTGTCTCTGTTGTTCTCAAACGGCATGAAGTCTCTCAGCGGTGGTCAGGCAGGGTTAGTGGTGCGACAGAGTTGTTTTTGAGCGCTGGTGCTCAACCCACTTCGTGGTGCTCGTAAGACGCCGTCGTGAGATTATGTTTTCCGCGGGCACTGTGTTAATATTCTGCCATGTGGTGTTCGTGGGGACGTTGTCAGGTCTGTGCGTGCGCGTGTGATCCGGTTTGGGTGGGGGCGGAGGTTAAGGGGCTGACCCCCCATGACACGCGCAATCCCGAGTAGTAGTAGTAGTAGTAGTAGTAGTAGTAGTAGTAGTAGTAGTAGTAGTAGTCGCAGTAGCAGTAGCAGTAGTAGTAGGTGGCAGTTGTTTCTCGTAGTAGTAGTAGTAGTAGTAGTAGGTATTAGTAGTAGTAGTAGTAGTAGTAGTAGTAGTAGTAGTAGTAGTAGTAGTAGTAGTAGTAGTCGTAGTAGTAGTAGTCGTAGTAGTAGTAGTTGTCGTAGTAGTAGTAGTAGAGTGAGTAGTAGTAGTAGTTTAGTAGTAGAGTAGTAGTTAGTAGTTAGTTAGTAGGTAGTAGGCAGTAGGTAGTA